CGTAGATGAGAGGGCGAAAAATCAAGCAGGGGGCTGCGGGGTGCTGGGTGGCAGGAAGGAAGGGGAAGGAACCAAAGAAGGAAGGAGGAGGAAGGCAGGGAGGGAAGGAGGAACCAGGAAGGGAAAAAGAGAGGCGAGCAAGAGACGCTGAGGATAGAAGGCGCCATAAAGATCCACAGATCACACCAGGCGTGGCGGGGGAGCGTTGCAGCTTCAGCGAGTAAGAACAATTCACGTCAGGTTGAATCACCGGTGGGGCTGCAGTGTCTGACATGGATTTTAAAGCAGCCATCGTTAAACGCTTCACCAAGCAACAAGAAGGGGCTCCTTTCCCTCTCTCTCCCTCCCACTCCTCCTCTCTGGGGACCGAACCCAGGGCCTTTGCACTGAGCTACTTCCTCAGCCCTCTTTTTATTTTTTATTTTGAGGCAGGATCTCACCAAGTTCCCGGGTTGTCCAGACTGGGCTCAATCTTCAGGATCCTCCTGCCTCAGCCTCCCAGAGGGCTGGGGTTACAGACATGTGCCACCAAAACGAAACCACTGAAACGTCTTTGCAGTTAAATAAAATTATGAAAAAGAACCAGATAGAAAAGATGGAATTGAAAAGTACAACAATTCCCCTACTCAGAATCCTCAGGGGCAAAAGGCCCATATTGTATCTCCCCTCTTAAAAAAATTGAGGTTTTTTTTTCTTTTTCTGGGCATCTTGACACAAGACTGGGGGGCAAGTCTGTGTAAGAACACAAACAACCTCATTTTCTCCTGGTGTGTACTCACAAGGCAGATCACTTCCGGGGCGCACCGGCTGGGTCCCCTCTAACCCACTTTAGTTCTGCGCTGCCTCCCTGCCCAGGCGAGGGCTCTGTCCCCATGGCCGTCCCCGCTCAGGATGCCTGTTGTGGCCACCGGCGTCTTACCTGGGCTTCTGCCTGACCAGCTACTCCCTGGGGCTCCCATGAGCCCTGCTCAGGCTCCGCTCCTTGGTCCAGTGGCTCACAGCTCAGGGAAGCACTTGTGGTACTGCCCAGTACCAAGGATACTGGAGGGGAGACACAGGGTGTGGGGGGCCCAGCCTGCACCTCCCCTTCTGGATCCCCCACTCTCCAGCTACCCAGAAGCTCAGGTGCCCAAAGACTGCATTCCACAGAGCGGAGGAGTACAGCTTCGGCCTCCGGATCATCTCAACCTTCCATCCCATCTCCGCGGCCCGCAGGATGGGGGTGGGGTAATTCTAGCCTTTCTTTTCAGGTGACTGAAAAGCCCACCCCGAAGTCCCCCGGGGGCTGCCAGCCAAGGGTCAACTCATTAGCACACAAAAAGACTCACAGCTTCTGAGATTCAGGGTGTTGGGAGCTGTGTGCCCGGAAATAAGTATTACAGGGTGTCAGTGTCGGGTGCAAGGCAGGTGCTCCCTCCTGCTCTACAGAACCCGACGCTATGTGACCTCTCTGCTCAGTTGGAACTTTCTAGCTGTCACTTCCCAGACTGCAGGGTGAGCTTATCCCAGTGGTGAGATAACTCAGAGGGAGGGCCATTGCCCTGGGCTTTCACTGGGCCGGAGGAGGTGGCAGCATCCTGACCCCTGCTGGGAGGAGGAGGGCCACCCCGCCTTCTGCCTACAGCTAGGCGTGAGAGGTGGGTGTCTGTCACCTGGACTGAGCTGCTGGAAGGTGCAAGATAAGCCAGGAGCTGCTGGGGCCATCTCCTCCCCAAGGGACCCGATGCCCAGTAACGACAGAGAGACCAAAGCCAGAACAACTTGGGGCGGGCCCAGCCTGTGCCTGCACACTCTGCCCTCTCCCCTTCCCTTCCCATCTTCCTTTTTCCCCTGGGTACTGGGGACTGGACCCAGAGCCTTTACCCCAAGTAACATCTCCAGCTCTCTTTATATTTTTTTTTGACACAGGGTCCCACTAAGTCACTACATTGCCCAGGTTGGGCTGGGATTTGTGATCCTCCTGTCTCAGCCTTCCAGAGGGTTGGGATTAGTCTTTTCATGAGGGGAGCCAATACTTTCCTTTGTATCTTATTCCTTTAAGCCAGTTTCAAGTTTTCCATCCAGTCCTCCTTGGGGGTTCACAGGGCAGGCTGCTGGGGGGGCCTCTCTACCACTGGGGAGCGGGGAAGTAGCCCCCCCAGATCTGTGCCTCTCTGCTTCTGGCCTGCCCGCTGTCCGTGGCTGGCCAGTTGAGCTGGGCACTGCTTTGACCCTGGACTTCATTATTGATCCCGTGTCAGTGGTGCAAACTAAGGTAAGGGCGGCTGGACAAAACAGGACACCTGTCTAAATTTGAATTTCTGAATATAAATCATTTTTTAGTAGCATATATCCCAAATAGTGTATGGAACACACTAATGAGTTTAAGAAAGCATTATTTATTTCAAATTCAAATTTAATGGGGGTGGGGCTGGGGATTTAGCTCAGCGGCAAAGCGCCTGCCTGGCAAGCGCAAGGTCGTGAGTTCGATTCCTGGTACCGGAGAAAAACCAAAAAAACAAAAACAAATTTAATGGGGGTGCTGCGTACTGATTCGCTGAATTTGGTGAATATCAAAAGCAGTCCATGCGGAAGCTGAGGCAGGGCAGTGGGCAGAGGAAGTGGTGCTCAGATGCAAATTCTGCATCCACAGACCTGCCCAAAGGCCTGCACCATCCACCGAGCAAGTCAACACAACTTTTTGACTTTAAGGTCAAGTCCAAATGTGGTATGGAGAGCTGTACCAACCATCAACACTCCAGCATGAATTAGTTTGCAGTCATGAATTCACTCATTTCTGTCAGCCACCCTGGAGGGAAGAGGTCCCAGACAGGGCTGCCCTGATAACCCTTCTCTGGAGCGCCTCCCCTTGTGATCCTCACTCTCCAGGGCACCGTAGCTTTATGGACGTTTTGACTGGATGCAGACTTCCGTACTGACCTGTGCTGGCAGTGAGGATGTGGGGGTCACACTTTACCGTCCACTGTCACCCTCACTCCCCCCTTGCTAACAGGGCCGCTTCTGCTCAGTATTTGACCTGCTTTGTATTTGCTTCCTGGCCTGCCTTGCAGCCTGCCGGTGGCCCCAGAATTCAGTCCTGGCTCCTGGGATGTCACAGCAATTTGTTAGGCTTAAGAAAGATCTGGCTTGACTTCGCTGATCAGCTCCCCCTTCATTTGGGCCCCAGCAGAGACCAGGTGTGAGACAGACACCCAGGGAGAACACAGCCCAGGTAGGCAGCACAGGCTGGGATGACCCGGTTCCCTCCGGATTTGCTAGTGGACAAAAAGAATTTTGTCCACCTCACCCAGCAGACCTGCAAAACTTCTGGAGATTTTTTTCTGCACTAGTAGATTGAACCCAGCACCTTCTCACTGAGCTGCATCGCCAGCCCTTTTCATTTTTTTTATTCAGAGGCAGGGTCTCGATAAGTCACTAAACTGCCCAGGCTGGGCTTGAACTTGCCATCCTTCTGCCTCAGCCTCACAGATGGCCGGGATGGTAGGCGTGCACCACCACATTGGGTGTGGAGGTGTTTTTGCCTGTCAGACCAGGAAGTAGCCACTAGTATCTAGTGGGTACAGACCAGGGATGCTGCTATATATCCTAGCACATCCTGACTACGTGGAGGGAGGGAACTTCTTAGCACAGAGCCATGTGGTTGATCCTAGACGCACTGAAAGTGAGACATCCTGACTTATACCGGTGGTTTTGGTTGTTGTTTTGAGACAGGTTTTAGCTAGAGCTCACTATGTAATCCAGGCTGACCTTGAACTCTTGGTGACCCTCCTGCCTCAGCCTGCCAAGTGCTGGGATTACAGGCGTGCGCCACCACACTTGACCCCTAGTACAGAAGGCAGGGTGAGGCCAAGGAGTGAGATGTGCAGAGGGCTGTTAAAAGGAACAAGAAGCTCCCGGTGCCAACAGACAGGGCCTCCTGCCAGGGACAGCAGTGCCAGCCCTGCCCCTCCCATGGCTCCCCTGGTCGTGACCACCCCCCACCATACCAGAATGTGACTTTTGATACAAACCAATTCCGTTTTAATGTAGAAAACACACCTCATGTACATAAATATAATTTCGGGGTATAAATAAAGTAAGAAAATAAGAGATGTACATATCAAAATAAATTACACATAAATATCCTGTTGGAAACGTAAGTCCTGGGGAAAGAATTCTGATCCGTCCCCTGCTGCGTCTACAAGTTGTTCGAAGACTTGGGGCTTCCAAATATTTTTCTTTTCTGGTTTCCAATGCGGGGTGTGGGCTGATAGAACGTGGTGGCTGTGGAGCCTGGTGGTGACTGGTGAGGGGGTGAGGGCTGGACAAGGCAGGAGGGACAGAGAGGGCAGGTGACCAGCGATCTGTTCTTCTTGAGTCACAGCTTTCAAGGACAGCACCCTGAGGTGGCCGCACTGGGCACGGGTGAAGGTCTTCCACTCGCTGTTAGTGACCTGGGCAAGTCACATGGCCCAGCTGTGCTCCTGGAATTGACTGTCTCACTGCCCATCCCTCTTGGTGTCACCTGCCCGAGAACACCGGCCCTGACCATGTGGAAGTGAGGAAGCAGGTGACCATCTTGTTTCCTGGGGGCAGATGGCCATACAGGTGTCCATCTGAGCTTACCCACCCAGAACCAGCCCCAAGGACAGTTCAGGCGGTCCTTGGCTGGAGAAGGGCTCAGACCTCCCTTGCTCTCAAAGCCTGGCCGTCGCTCCGGCCAGGAGGCACGTGGAGGCTCAAATGGTCCAGGGACCTGAGACCTGCATCAGTTCTCACGTGGCGAGTCAAAGTACCTACTTTTTCACAGACCTGATTGATCAGCTGGATGTGAATGTAAAAATGACTGCTTACCATGGAGCAGCCGGTGCTGAAAATGATAGAATTATAGAGGTTCGGTTCAGCATTAGGCATTTTCCCAGAGGGAATGAGTTCCCCATCAGTGGAAGTATTCAAGGAGAATCGGAGTAGCACAGTGATTCGTCCAGCTATCAAGGTACCTGTGTGTGTGTGGGGGGGTGGGCTTGGATAGCAGCCAGACAGGTGGAAGGCTTACAATTTTATGATCAGACAAGTCTATCTGCTAGAAAACTGGCACAGCCAATATAAAACTTGGAATATATACAACTTCTAAGGTTTCTTCCTAAAGCTAAACCAAACAGGGTCTCAGGACTATTCCTGCAGAAGCACCCTTGGAGCTCTGGTTACTTCTGAAAGCTGGGACTCTTTACCAACCCCATCTCACTGGCCATCCCAAACGGGTCCATGCTGTCTGTCTTCAGGGGCAGCGAGAACACACTGGATTCCCCCTCGTCACCGGGTTCTGCCGAGGCCTTGGGCAGCATGGGCAGGAAGTAGGACAGGGGCACCACACCCTTGCTCTGGTACTGCTGCCTCTGCTTCACACTGCTCAGGACGATCGGGAGGTGGTGCTTCTGGGAGCGGTACACGCTGTAGCCTGGGTAGCTGATCTCCTCTTTGAAGGCGCAGTCTTCTTCCGAGTACCAGGGCTGTGGGGGACCGAGAGTGTAAGCACTGCAGGCAACAGCCCAGAGAGAACAGAAAACACTGCACCCCAGGGGGAAATGTCCCCCTCGGCCACCAACTGTCCCTGCAGGCTACCATTAGAGGATGTCCATCACTTGTGCTTGCTTTATAAGTATGCATGTATATGTAAATACATAGTTTACAACCTTTATTATATATAAAAATCATAATCATATTAAGGCATAATAGCATATGAATATAGTAAGTATATTTTATGCCTTTATAAATGCTTTCTAGTTTTTACATCCATATATTCCTTTTTTTTGGGGTACCGGGAATTGAACTCAGGACTTTGCCAGGCAGGCACTTGTGCCGCTGAGCTACATCCCCGGCCCCATGTATTTGTTTTGCATAGCTGCTTAGTACCTATATGTACTTAATACTACTCCTCCATATTTCCCACTAAATCGGCTCACTTTTCAACTCTACCTTGCCCTGAGCAATCAAACCATAGGCGCGGCTTGTGCATTCCTCCCAACTCTATTTACATTTAAAAAGTTCATCACATTCCATCAGCACTTTGGTAAACTCGGACTAAACACTGGATCATTTGAGGATCGGTCTTTTGATTCAGAATTACAGGGGCCTAGGCTCTCTGGAGTCCGGGCTGGGGCGTCTACTAGCCTGCATCTAGACCGATATAGTACATGGGAGCCTTTCTAAGCATCAGCCCCCTCTGGCTCCTTCATTCACCGCAGGAACTTTCCCTCCTTGAAGGGCAGCGCAGCAGGGACAGCGAGATAATCCACAGCCCCCTCCCGCCAGCCCAGGGCAGAGCCTGCACCAGCGGGGGGCCGGAAATGTGTGCAGCAGGAAAGGTCCCTGCTCCCCAGAACATTCCTAGTCCCCAGGCTTGAGAGGTGCCCGTGGGTGAGCCCTACCCCAAGCTAGTGTCATTATCTGTTGGGGACACGGGGAGAGTCTAAGGCCGGGAGCTGGGAAGCTGCTCCGTAAACACAGGCCCCACATCTGCGGAGTCTACAAAGGTCACTGAACTGCAGGTGGGTGAGTTACGGGCTGATAAGGCACTGATAAGTCTAATTGCAAGGGCCCACTGCTCCTGCCCAGGCCAACGGCACACCAGGCCACAGCCACCAGGCCGTCAGGGACAGTTTCTTCTGATTTCTGAAAAACGCAAATTGTAGATAGAACAAGTGAAACATTTCACCCTAAGAGCTCTTTGGGAGAAACTATTATCCTTTCTCCATACAGAAAATGAAATTTTGAGTTTCTAGAAAAAAATGTGTCATCCTAGGCTAAAAAATTAAAAAGCATCATGTCCTCAGGCGGTGCTAGACTACGGCCCAGATACCAAGAGAAGAAAAGGACTTTAGCAAACCGCTCCTCCAGGCTCCCCACTGTGCGTTAGATCTGCATGGGGAGGGGAGGTGATACCCACAGCTTCTGCAGGGCCCTTCCGCCCTGAGTGTCCTAGTAAATGTCAACGTAAGTGACAAAGGCAGGGTTGGGGCGCTTTGGGGTCAGCTTCCAGCAGGCAGACCCCCAGTCTATTTTTTACCATCTTTTCAGCCAGATAAATGGAATACATGGATGGCACAGGCACAGAACAATTCTGAGACTCTAAGATGCAGAGTCCTGGGGCCACTGGCAACTGGGGGTGGGGGTCCCTGCAGGTGCCCACACACACACCCGGGCCCTACCCCCCTCCTCCCAGGGAGCCCCCGGCTGTGTGGGAGGCCTGGCCTCTGGGGACCTCACACAGCCTCCTCTAAGCACGGTTCCTTTGAACTCACACGCTTTGTTCAGCCACCAGAGCCCCCAGCATCCACACACTTCCAGCTCCAGCCTTCTGTGGTTACCTGGGCCTTCCTTGCCCATCCCCCACCCCACCAACCCCCAAACCAAAGCATTTTCAGCAGAGGTGAGCTGTTGCAGGGGGCGGGGGCCACAGCAATGAAGTTTTATTCTAATACATCTGCATTTTAATAATAAGAGGCTGAGGTAGAAGGATGGAAAGTTCAAGCCCAGCCTGGGCAACCGATGGAGATGCCTGTCTCAAAACTTAAAAACTGGGGGCTGGAGATTTAGCCCAGCGCAAAGACCTTGGGTTCAATTCCCGGTACCAAAAGGCAAACCAACAAAAGAAAAAAAGAAAAGGAACCTTGCCAGTCTCAGTGTTTTTTGCTTTCGAATTTGATAGTTTTTTTTTTTTTTTAAGCAAACACAATTTATGGATATGCCTTCTTTCCTTATACTTGAGAGAGGAAGAGAGGACCACACGCAAAGCCCAGGCTGTAAAGGGGCGAGGTGAGTTTTCTTGTTTAATATCAAAGGAAGCCGCACAATGGGTCTTCCCGGCCCGCCGGCGGCCTTTAGCTCAATTGTGAATGCATGGCTGCTCTCACCCATTCTCCGGCTACAGACTCGGACGTAAACTTCCGTGCTGGCGGGGTAGGGGGGCATCCGAGCATTAGCTTAATCGACCCTTGAAAGCTCTCCCTCGAAGTTGCATACAGGTTTGAGCAGAGGTGGGAGAAGACCCATGTTGGGTGCACCCTTGCCCCGTGCGGACACTTACCAGCCCCCGCATCCTGCCATCAGGGCCCATGCACAGGTACCGGACGCTGTTTATGTCCTTGATGGCCACGGTCTCCAGAGCTACTGCTCTGATCTCCAGCAAGCCTGGGTACAAGGGAAGCAAGAAGCTGCGGCCTGGGACCCACACACGTGGGCGCCCTCCTTCGAACACCTGCGCTCCCCCGCGCTATCTGGGGACCGAGGGAGGGATGGTAAAGCTAGGGTGCAAAAGCTGGGGTTCCTGGGAGATCCCGGGGTTCCCAGAGGGCCGAGGAAGGGCAAAGGGAGGAGGAGTGGCGGGAAGGGTGCCGGGACCTGCCGGCACTCACAGTGCTCGCTCTGTTCCTCGACGCAGTCCACCGCGCCGTCCGTGTGAATGCGCAGGAAGCAGCGCGAGCGGCCGTAGGGGCCCGCGGCGTACAGGTGCCGAAGGCGGATCGGCTGGTCCCAGCCGTAGTACAAGTGCGGCCCCTGGTCCGACAGGGCGAGAGACCGCCGGGCCATGGGGCGCCCCGCCACCGCCAGCCACAGGCCGGCCAAGACCAGGACGCGGAGCACCGCACATCCGCTCGGCGCGCTCCGCATGGCACCTCCGGGGACTGGCGGCGACGGCGATGCGCGGCAGGGTTGTGGCACCTGGGCGCGGTGGCCTCGAGCCGACCGTGAGCTAGGGGTACCTGGACGCACTGCGCTCCTGCTCCGACGGCGCAGTGGCGCGGGTCTGCAGCCTTATATAGCTTGCCCCGCCAGCCCCGCGGGTAGGTGCCTGGGATCCTCGAGCATTTCTGATCGGGATTGCATCAAGCCTCCGCCCCCCGCACACACCCTCTCATTTTCCTCTTCCTGACCTGGCCCCGGCAGGTGGGCGGTGGCTCCTATTCCCCGCCCGTGACCCCGCCCACGCTGCCCTGACCGGGGGTGGGGCGCTGCTCCGATGTGCGACCCGCCCCCGAGAACGACTCTCCGCGGTGCTGCAGCCTGGGGGCTCAGGGTTGTGTGAGTTTAATTTCACAAAGCAGTAGACAACTGAAGCCTCTTCCCAGTTCCCTGAGGATGCCCTCGGTGTGCGGCCTTAGCTGGGGCGGAGACCAGGAGATGTGGAGCTTTGCCTCCCTCATGCCCGGGCTGGCTTTCGTGCGCTTCTTAAAAGACCATATTCCCTGCCTCCTCCAAGAGTCCCAGCCTGCATATCTGTCTCGTGTTGTCTGCTACAGTTTCCCCCTGCAGCTCCGACTTTCTCACGTTTTCCGAGTTTTATCTTCTGGCAACACACCCCCACCGCGCGCCCTTTTATGCTGCTAAACTGCTCCCTAGACTGGATCTCCGGCCGCGTACACACAATGGGAGCGCAGCGCGTGGGGAGGCCGCGAGGTGGCGCTTCAGCCTCAGTTTCAGCCCAGCGCGCCGCGCGCCCTGTGCGTCCCGCGCCTTCGCCGGGGGATGGAGGCTGGAAGGGCGGTGGTTTGGGAAAGCGACTTTCGGGCTGGGTGGGCTGGCCAGCTGCGGCGTCGGTGAACTCCGCTTCCCAGCTCCGGCCGCAGCGCCTTTGTTTTTGAGGTGCCATGCGTCGGAGGCCCGGCCCTGGAGGCCCTGCGCCCGGGGTCCGCGGGCCGAGCGGTCTGGGAGGTCGGGCGCGCCTGCCCCGGCGGGCGGGGAGAGGGGGGCCTCGGTGAAGCGGCGCCTGCAGAGAAGGAGAATGCGCTGGCGGGGCAGAAAGAACTGCTCCCAGCGGGCTTGGGCTTAACTCGGGTCCTTGCCCATTGTGCCTGCAGCCCCGGCTCCTGGGTGTGGGGGAAGAGCGCACGGGCCCGCGCAAAGGCGGTGGGGAGGGCAACGCGGAGACGCCGCGGAGATGCCAGGCCTAATGAATTTCAATGAGCAAAGGCCACATTCATACCCCGTCAGTGACTGGCGTTAATGACGGAGCACGCAGAAAATGTCACCAGGAAAGCCTTTAGAAAAAGACATCATCCCCTAGGCTTTCTGGACCAGGGACTCCCACGCTGTGCGTCTTGGTTCAGAAAGCCGTGGCTTCTGTTAAATCTAATTACTTCCCCCCTGTGGCTTTCAATCGACGGCGGCTCCTATTAAACTTAATTACCCTCCCCTGCAGCTTTCGTTTTAAAGTCCGTGATAAATGCGGGGTACTGAGGAGGATGGCAGCGGCTGCATTGGCGGACGCGCCCCAAATCGGGCTGGGGGAGGCGAGATGGCAGCATCCAGCTCCCCCTCCCCGCGCCCCAACCTTCTCTGCCTTCTGGGGAAGGGGCGGAAAGGGATTGAGGGCGGCGACCCGGGAACACCAGGCAATGCCTCAAGGGTGGTCTAAGCCCCGCGGCTAAGTTCTCAGTTTAAATTCCCGCAGGATCCCCCAGGTATACCATTTCCCCCGTTGAATGGGTGGAAAATAGGGGCCCCAGAAAAGTGGCAGAGTCGCCCAAGGCCATACAATCTGCAAGGAGATTGGGAGTTGGACTTTGAACCCAGACAGTCTGCTTGTAAACCCCGGCTGTGCTGCCTCCACGGGAGTAAACATGCCCTTGTCTTGGGGCTCCCGGGGCAGACCGGCTGCAGCGCGAGGATCCTCACCTGACCATTCCCTGGGCAGGCCAGGGACCTCCGGGGCTGTGGCCTCGGCCTGCATTCAGTCCTGCGGGCCACAGAGACGCGCGCACAACAGTGCCCGGAGTCATTCATGAAGGTGATGACGACAATCCTAAGGATCAGCTCGGTACCTGGTGTGCCATAGTCCCAGCTGTGCTGTGAGCCTTGAAGCTGTGAATCTTGCCACGTATGAGGGAAGTGAGGCTTGTGGAGACAGACAGACAGACAGACAGACAGACAGACAGGGATTCTGCTTGAGTGGTTGATTGCAGTGCCCAGGCTTGAGCATCTACTGGTGCCTCCAGCGTGGGTGGGAGAGGAAACACCACACTGGCCAGCAGGGGGCGCTGTGGCCACCTGTCGGGCTCTCTAGCAGCGAGCTGGAGGTGCATCAGGTGTGGACCTTCTCCCAGAGGGCTCAGTCATACCTGGGTCTTTGAAGCCCCAATTGCTGTGTCTCCTGGCTCTGATTTTTCAGGTTGTATTTGCTTCAAGTAGCTCAGTGGGCTGGTTCTCCACTTGAGGACATTTCATCCACTGATGGGGGGGGGGGGCAGCAGTCCGTGCATCCTGGTCACTGCCACCGCCTGCAATTGGTCTGAGGCCCACATGGCCCAAAGGGCTTGGTTTGGTGCTTTTGTTTAGGATTTCATGTTCGCTGAGCTTGTTTGTTTTTGTTTTCTGACAGAACTGGAGATTGAACCCAAGGTCTTCACACTGAGCTACAGCCCCAGCTCTTTTTTTATTTTTTATTTTGAGACAAATTCTTGCTAAATTTTTAAGTTTCTCAGGCTGGGCTCAGATTGTTGTCCTCCTGCCTCAGCCTCCCAGACTGCTGGAATTACAGGCATATGCCACCATGAATGGCTCCAGGCGGTTTTTTGTTTGTTTTCTGTTTGGGGGTGGGGGTGGGGTTGTCTTGTTTGTTCTTTACAGTGCTGGGGATGGAACCTAGGGTCTCACCCAAGCTAGGCAAGCTCTCTACCACTGAGCTACATCTTCAGCCCCACTTGAGAATTTTTTAATTGTCACATCGAACCTTAAATCCTTTTTCCGAGTTTCCTCTCCCCCTACTGAGCTTGGGGAGGTTGCTATTTTCTGATCGTGGAAAATACAAGATTGTTGTTGTTCCTAAACCCGTGTCCCAGTGACTCAGAAAATAGAAAACTATGAATACTTACATTTAGAGAAATTATTGCAGTAAAAGACACATTGCCATGAACCCTCCTCGACATACTCCCCTTCACTTCCAGCACACTTATTCCGTTGTTTTGGTCACTTCCTGAAGCAGTTCTGGAAGTCTTCTTGGTGAATGTCTTTAGTTGTGCTGTCATGGCTGCCTTGATGTCCTGAACTGATTCAGATATTTACCTGTCATGGTCATTTTGATTTTGGGGAAGGGCTAGAAGTTGCACAGTGCCAGATCTGGTGAATAAGGTGGGTGAGGAGGGCACACTGGGCCTGCCCTTCACTGGGCGGCATTTGGCAGCCGCATATTTTTTATCACCCCTCGTAAAGACACTTGGGAAGAACCAGGCATAGTGGCACACACCTGTAATCCCAGCACTTGGGAGGCTGAGGCAGGAGGATTGTTGCAAATTTGAGACCAACCTAGGCCACAAAAGTGAGCTCAAGGCCAGCCTGAACTGCGTAGTGAGACCCTGTCTCAAAAAAAAAAAAAAAAAGAAAAAAAGAAAAAAAGACACACTGGGAAAGAGGACTTCCAGAACTGTATCAGAAATGGCAAGAATGTGTTTGAATCAAGGGGTAAAGTTCTGAGGTGGATTAATGGCAATGTGTTTTGCTGTAATACTTTCTTAAAATATTCTCTTGTCTGTGTTGATCACACAGCATCCATATGGAGATGGCCTGGCCCATGCGGGCGTGTGATAGGAGAGGTAACTATTATTATTTACTTGAATGCCATTCTCTGGTTATTCTTGCAACATTTATTAATAATTTTAAAATTTAAGGGAAACTCTAGAAAAAGACAAGTCCACGGTAACAAAGTACTGACCAGTCGCTGCCTGGGATGGAGATTAACTGCCTGCCAGGGTGGAAAGAAGTTTTTCTGGGGTAATGCAAATGTTCTTTACCATGGTGGTAAACAAACCAGGGCTGACATTTGTCAAAACTCATTAAAGTGTACCCTTCACATTTTCATGGTTTCAAAGTAGTTTCTATTATTAACTTTTACAGTTAGAGTACATCGTATCTGAATTTCAGACGTGCATTAATATAGGCACAGTGGGTAGTTTTTCTTTTTCCCTTTGTAAAGTTGAATTAAAATCGCACAACATGGGATTTGCCATCCTGAGTGTTTTAAGTGTGCTGCTCCATGGGGTTAATACCACCTTCACGTGTAACCATCCCCGCCACCTCCGTGACCCTTTCATCTCATACAACTGAACTGCTACCTAGGGTGCACTTTATTTTAAATTATACCTTTAAAAAAAGAAAGTAGACTTTGAATGTTTTAATTGCCAAAGCACTACTTAGTTACAGTTGAAAATTTGGAAAATCCACAGAAGCACAATACAAAACCTAGAATATTATTTCAAAACCCATTTCAAAACCTAGAATATTATTCCTGCATTGCGACTACTGTTTCAATGTAGGTAGAATTTTTTCCTTAGATTTTTTTAAAAAGCATGTACGTATCTTTACAGAAAAGCTTTTGAGTTATTATCCCTGCCCCCTGCCCCAAACATTTCCCTTAGCATGAACTACCCTTCTGGTATCTGCTGGCATCCTTCACATCAGCAGATCCGAGCCAGGCACTTGGAGAATGCCATCTGTCCCTGTCTGCTAATTTCCTCTCCAGCCACGCAGGGGAGAACATCCTGGGAGGTGAAGACGTCTTGCGCATGTCCACTCCTCGAAGGGGAGTTTCTGCATCTTGTGGTCTCTTCATCCCCACCTAGGCCCTGTCCCCTAGTGTGGACGCTATGTGGGCGGGATGTGACTTGCCTCTGGGATTC